CCCATGTAGCAGGTTGTGGCCAGGTCACACCCTATCCCTCTCCCCCTCCCCTGTAGTTGGATGAAGCCAGGTCATGCCCATCACCCTAGGCTGGATAGGGCTGGTTTAGGGCTAGTTCAAGCCCCTTCTCCCGGTGACAAGATAAAGCCAAAGAGTTCCAACTCTATGCTGACAAACAAGATATGCATAGGTTTGTCTGGGCAACAAAGGCCATCTATGGCCTAGCATACCATGGGGTTCTACTTTCCTGAGATCATAGGATGGCTCAATGCTCCACAAAGACAATGAATCTATCCAAGCTAGATGGAAAGAGCATTTTGAGGCACTTCTGAACTGTGAGTCCACTGAGGCAGACACCACCACTGACTCCATCCCCCAACACCCTGAAAAGGAATCCCTCACCAGCCCTCCTATCCTAGATGTCTGGCATGCCATCAAGGAAACCAAGAACAACAAGGCTACTGGACCAGGTGGCATCCATGCTGAAATATACAAGGTTGGTGTCAAGGAACTGGCACTGAAACTTCAAAAATGTACTCTACACATTTGGAACAACAAAGAGAGCCCTGGAAACCTGAGGAGTGAGGACCATCTTCAATAAAAGAGATAAGTCTGTGTGTGGGAACTATTGAGCTATTACTCTCCTTTCCACAGCAGGGAAAGTCCTTGCCCATATCCTCCTGAATTAACCATCTCCTACCTCTTGCTGAGGAAGTCCTGCCAGAATCTTAGTGTAGTTTCAGACCATCCCATAGGGCAACTGACATGATCATTGTTGCTCATCAAGTCCAAGAAAAGCACTGGGAATGATACCAGGATCTGTAGATAGCCTTCGCTGACCACACTATGGCCTTTGACTCCATCAATTACAAAGCCTTTTGGAAAGTACAGGCCAGATTTTGATGTCTAGAAAAGTACATGAAGGCCCTGAGGCTTCTGCATAGCTAGATGACTCTGATTTTTCTATCTAGAGGATCAAAGACATCTGTCATCTGAACTGAGGTCAGGCAGGGATGTGTCATTACCCCAACTCTGTTTTCCATTCTGACAGTCATCTTGGTTCTTATTAAGGACCACCTTCTTCTGGAATTGACATTGAATACTGAATGGACGGAGAGCTCTTCAATCTGGACATTTTCAGTCAAAGATCAAAATATTCAAAACAACTATCTCTGACCTTCAGTATGCCAGTGACTGTATCATCCTTGTACACACAGAGGGAAACCTCCAGACTGTGCTGGAACTTTTTGGAGAGCCTACTGAGACTAAAGATATCAAGACTAATGTGTTCTATCAGCCTGCCCCAGGCCATGAATGTGACCCTCCCTCCTCCCCAACCTCATCAAGGGAAAGACACTGGAGGTAGTCAAGCACTTCCCCTACCTTGGTAGCCACCTCTCTCAGAGAATGAACATTGATGAGGAGATCCAGCACAGGATCTGGCACACAAATGCCTCTTTTGAGAAATTGTTTCAGCGTATCTTTATTCATTGCAATCTCTAGGAAAACACGAAGATCCAGGTCTACAATGCAATCATCATTCCCACTCTCCTCTACAGATGTGAAACATGGGTGACTTATTGTTGTCATCTCAAGAGACCAGACAGGTATCACCAATGATGCCTCCAGAAAAATCCTCCACAGCAAGTGAAGATCACTGTGCAAATGTCAGCATCCTTGCTGAAGCCAGTGTTACAAGCACTGAGTTGGTGTCTTCAATCACCAACTTCACTGGACCAGACTGTGCGCTTGACTCTTGACTCCTAAAATTAGTGCTCTTCTCCCATCTTAGTAATGGCCTGAGATCTTATGGCAACCAAAGGAAATGCTATAAGGACACATTGAAAGCATACTTTAAGAAAACAGATGCCCACGTCAAGACTTGGAAGGAGCTGGCTGCTGGTTCCAATGGCACCACAAAGTCAACTAAGTGGCTGCCTATTTCAAGGTAAAGCATGTCGCCCTCAAAGCAGAAAAGAGAGCAGTGGAAGAAAGAGGAGAGAAATCCTGGTCTTCTGCCTCCCCTCCCCTGTGGAAAGACCTGCACCTTCTGTAGACAGATTTGTGGCTTAAGGATTGGATTCTTAGGTCACCTCAAGACCAATCAATGAACTGTAGCAGAGATCATCTTCAAATCGAAGGATTGCTGCTGCCACCACTGAGTGTCCAGTAAGCTAATGATTTTTTTTTTTATTTCCAAGCCCATCTTTTGACAGTGTTTTGTAAACTCAAGTGATGCCTTCTAAGGAGACCATTTGTCTAGGGGCATCTGGCCATGGGAAGTACATCTAGGATCCTAGTTAGGGAAAGATGGGATTACCTGATTGGCTATCCAAGGACATTTTTGAATGAAGCTGCTGGATGCAGGTGCTATCTCAGCAGTTGTTTTTAGGCAGGGAAGCAGGGTGAACTTTCTATTTATTTCTTGCTTTTGTCTTTCCAATTTCATAGTAATTTTACTTGTATATCTATCTTGTTTCTATAATAATTTGTATTGCTATTTTTATCTACCTTACTGGTTGTCCATGGTGAAGGTGATTTTTTTCAGAGCAATTGATAATTACAGATACTACAATATTTTATAAACTGAAGGGGAACACTGCACATATTGGCAAAGTGCCTCTGCTGAAGTATGGCTGAAAGGTGGAAAGACTGAGGTTTGCTGGGGTAAGGAGTTATCCAAAGAGCAGAATCTAGTCTGGTCACTGCAGACATGAAGCATAACACTGGAGTGAAGCTTGAAGCTGAGAAACACCCCAATATAGCATGTATTGTCACAATGTGTACCTCTTTGTATATGTTCTTGAAAGCCTGTTATTGGAGTGCCGGTTGTACTGAGGTTGCACTAGGAGAGGATATATATCTGGATTCTTCTGTCCTCACTATTGATAGTAACAGTTGATAATGATCTAGGGATAAGTGAAAATGTCCTCTAGCAGATATCTTTACGGTTGATGGATGCCCTGAGCTTTGTGTGAGTTGCAACCTCACAATCAAGCTGGCTAAACTAGCATCTCAGATACCTTGTAGACTATTGTCCCAAGTTGATGTCATCTATTGGCTGCATTATACAGCTCTATGCTCGGGGTCAGTCACTATGTTGTGTAGGCACTGGAGGAGAGAACTGAGCAGGCACTAAGGCAAAGTCCAAGGGCTGCGGTCTGCCCATGAAACAAGGGAAACAAACTCTCAACATTTTTCTAGGTTTGGCCAAAGCATTTTCCACAAATTAGCCTAGAAAATTAGATTATTGCTATTATTCCTGAGGCTTATTAAAACCCTTATGAGTGCTCTGTCTATAGCCATATGGTTGAGAGAAACTGGAAAGTGCACTTGCCCTTTACCTCTTCAACTCAGAGACACAGGACTAGGGTGTGCTTTTTGGGTACTGCTGGGGGGAAAAGTCTCCGGTCAAAGCACAAGACATGAGACTTGCCCATCAGAAAAAATGTGTATAGGGACAAGTACATGAACAACTGCTCTGAGCTCCCTGGATTAAAATCTTTGATCTGCCCATCACAGCCATATACTGCTTTCTCTAGGATAACAATTAGAGAGGTATGAATATAGTCTCTCCACAGATAATTGGTCAAATTGTATCTAAAATTTATTTTGCTCTAACTGCTGATGCTGACCATCTCCACAGTTATTTGGGATTTAGCTGATTCCTAATATTAGACATCAGCCCCTGCCTTTTATGTAGAGCCTCTGTAACAGGACCACTTCACAGTGAACCATGGTTTGGAATATGGGGAGTACCAATACTCCCCCACATACCACATGGCCCCAAATAAGTCATGCACCTTGTTTTGGGAAGGCAGAAAAAAGGTTTATCCCATCATGGCTGAATCTTAACCACATGGAATCCTGACCATTACTGCTCAAGCAAAAATTAATTTTAACCCTCTCACAACCACTGCCAAACTAGCAGCAGCTTTTGACTGCTCAGCCAGAAGCTACAGCCGATTTGTCAGCAGCTGTGCAAGGGTTAAAGCTAACTGCAATGCTAAAGACTACACTCTGCCCCACCCTTCAAGCGGGAGAGGACAGCCCCAGCAGCCATTACAACATCCCTATGCAACCATTATAGCATCCCTATGCTTCAAGTCTGATGTTGAAATCAGGTGCTCTACTTAAGATGCATCTCAATTTTGGAAGGGTGAGTTTTGGGGAAAATGTGGTTATGATATGCAAGGAAATCTGGCACTTTATCAGTTACTGCATGTATGACAGCAATGTATCCATCCCTGGACAAAATGAAAGGAGCCTGATCCTGTAAACAAGTTACTCATGGTGTACAAGATTGCATACGAAGATGGGAAGGCTGCAGTTTAGGCCAATACTTGAGTATGTGCATAACTGTATATACATACCTTGCTTAAATCTCATGGACTTAAATATGTGAGCACATTCTTACATGTAAGTGATGTTTCTGTTCTGTACTGGGTAAGGTAGCTTTCCTGAATCAGGGACAGAAAATCAAGTTACAAAATTGGCAAAGTAAATATTTTGAGCTCAACTGGTCAAATCCAACTCTCCTGAATTCCAACCTCTGACTCTTCTAACCCTTATAGAGGAAGATTGGAATTTACTGTTTTTTTCAAGGGAAACTGCTCAGTAAGTTAGCACCAAATGTTATGTATCTCCTTACAGTGTCAGGGCTAGAACTCAAGGTATGGATAGTTCTTCTCCTCCTTTTCTTGTTCTTGTTTTGCTTTTTTTTTTGGTTTTGCAGTGACTGAGATTTAAAAGAGAATGACAGCAGCCACCATAGTCTTGGAACACAGCAAAAACTAGTGGGTAAGTTCCTTAGCTGTCTGCATAGCAGCAGTTACTAGACAAACACAACTCCATCATCAGCAGGGCAGACTTTAGGAGAAATGGTAGGACATACCCATGCTGAGGGGCAGGTTAAACCTCACCTCAAGCTTCACATGCCCTTTAGGAATCCAAAGAAAGAAAAACCTGGTGTTCGCCACATGAAATAAGGAAAAAACTGTTAAGGAAGGATATTTTATTTCCAAGCTTCTAGAAGGATCTTACAAATGAGAGAGTAAAAAAATTGCAAAACTTTTATATATGTATGTTTGTATATGTGTGTATATATACACATATATACACACACACACATACATACATACATACACACACACACACACACACTGGGTCCTTTTAAGCATTTCTTCACATTATTGTAATGGTGATAGGAAATATTGCTTAACTGTACATGCATTTTTCCTGTAATCCAGATCACTGTTACCAGAGGACAAGATTCTCATACAGCATTTCCCTAGACTGCGGTTTTGTTTGTTATTTTACTTTGAAAGAAGAAAAAAAGAATGAGATTGCTCAGAACCACAAAAGGGTGTTAAAGAGTGTGAGGATCACTGTGAGTGAGGGACTAAAAGCCATGCATAAGCCAGACAGAACTATGCAGCCTTCCCCACACCACCCTGTCACTGCGCTTCATTTCTAAGCTACGTGTCTTTCCTCTTTCAAGCCTGGGCTCCCCCACAGTTTGACTGCCTTACAGACACAATCCCAGCCTGCAGTCTCCCTGCTAGGCCAGCCCCGTTCCCCCTATACCACATCTTTACCAAGGCACCTCAATCCTGAATGCTCTGCTAGTCCAGCCTTAGGCCCTCACTCAATTCTTTTGATGAACCCCTGTCCTGAGCTGCTACACGCTTATTATTTGAGGCCTCTTACACAGCCACCAGCTCTGCAAGCATATACCAATCCTGTCTTTCACACCTATTCCTGAATCTCCTAGCTAAGACACTTTAGTCTTGACCTGCAATGCCAACTTTCTTCTCTTTTCTTGCCCCCATTGACCTCCATACAGCTGTGCCAGCGCACTTCTGTCCCAACCAACCCTTCTTATACTCTGCATCTGGAGATCCCAGCAGCCAATGCTGCCTATGCTGCCAATGCTACCTGTGTGTGTGATGTAGACAAATGCCTAGTGGGGATTGGAATGAGCTCAGCAACTTCATTTTCATCCTCATCAGGATTTCTCACCCAGATCTTCAGAGCTGAAAGGCTGAAGGCATTTGTCTACTGAGCCACGCAGGCCCCCTGAGTCTATGTGTAAAGACAAACAGCTCCAAACTATAAAGACCCTCAGGAAATAAATGCAGACAGAGCCAAGGCAGAGAAATGGACCCAGGGCAGCACTATTGTCTCCAAAGTGCCCCTTGCTATGGAATGTTGTGGTGGCTTTTAAACAAAGTCAGAAATCAACAAAACCAACCCCCCTCCCGCCTCCCCCACCAAATTTTTCAAACACTTAATTTCCAGCTTAAGTGAACTCAACAGATTTAAAAATTCACATAGGTGCCATAAAAAATAGAACAACAACAATTAGCTATTTTCCATTGTCTTTAGAACAAAAATTCAAGCCTTCGGAGGCAGAGGGCTAAAAATAAGTGTCTCTTGCAAGGGAGAGGTGGGGGGTCTGCTGTCCTGCTTCTGTGGTCTCGCAGGCCTCCTCTGTGTCCCATTCCTATCAGAGAAAACCCCTGAAGTGCTGAATGTCTCTCCCTGTCTCCAGTCATCCAGGATCCTGACCCCAGCAGAGGTTGGTTGCTGAAGCCAGATGGTGGAGTGGAAAGGCTGAGCTCCATTCCCAGCTTCTGCCCCAGGAAACCCAGGCTTCTTATTGCACAGCTCAAAAGCAAGGAAGAAGGCTCAGGCATTGCCTTCCTCCTTCACAGCTATACTTTACACACGAAACAGGCAACCACAAACACCCCAGCCATCTGTGTGAAAGAAGGTATATATTCAGCACGCGTTTGATACAGTATAGCGAGAAGCAACCATTCCCTTAAAAAACAAAACTAAACAAATCTGAAACCATACCCCCCTCCCCGCTCATATCCTCATTATCACAGACCAAGGGAGGTGACCAATTGCAAACAGCAAGCAAAGTAATGATCCATCTTGTTCCCCAACCCCAGGCATATGATTATTCTGAAAGTCAGCAGAGTTTAACAGCAGAAGGGCAGGTACGGAAGAGACGGCGCTGGTGGGAGAAACCCTCCACCGAGCATCTCGCTAGTTGGGCACCAGAAGAGGGAACGCAGAGAGCAACTTTTGTGAAGCCTTTTGTGTCTCCCTTGCATCTGAGCATCTATCCTGTCAGAAGTGTGCTGTTGAAAGAGGGTGGCCACTACTTGGATCTGGGGAAGAGGTGCACTGGGCTGAAGTTGGGCAGCGGAGTCTGCCTGGCATGCTCTGGCATAAATGCAATGGTACAATGAAGTGAAACAGAGTCTGAAGGAAGGGCTGGGTGAGAAGCCAGCCCCTTACAGCAGGCTCTCTGGAATTGGCCCCTATGCTAGAAGAGGAGGGAGCACTCACACCTTTATGCCTGGGGGACAGGAGCGCCCCTGCTAGGGGTATTTTACCTTCTGATCACCAGGAAGATCTCACTGACTGCTGGAGGAGGTGGTAGGATACCAACTCTGATGGTGTGGTCAGGGTAGGGGAAGGCCTTGTGCAGTGATGGCTCTGACAATGGGGAAGAGATTCCCCAGGCACAGATATTTGCACAGAGGCCTTGCACCTAGACACGTGTGTAATGGAGAGGGGTTGGGTTTAGAGACATTTCACTCTGGGGAGACTTCTTTTTGGCAACCAGCCCATTTTCTCCTTTAGGGGAACCAGTCCAGGGGGCTGTCTCCAGGCCCTAAATGGCCAGGCTTGTTTGCACCCAAGGGAAACACATTTGGGTTCCTGAAAAGGTCACCAAAAAGCCTGGGGGAAGGCTCTGCTCTTACTCAAAGGCCTCATCACCTCCTCACTTATGCAGGTGACCTCCTTGTGGATGCGGAAAATCCCTCCTGCCTGAAAGGCAGATGGGAGTATGTGGTGTCTTCCTGGGAATAGGAAGCTGCATTGGATTTCCTGTGAAAAAAGGCCCTCATTCCACCCCCAGCCTCCAGTCCCTCTTCCCAGGCCCTGCAGCAGTGCTTCTGCTGTTGCCCTTTGCTGACCCTGCATATCTGATTTTGTTTGGGGGTGGTATGTATAGTGCTTTCAGCCCCTCCCCCCCCTCCCCCATTAGTCTTGCTGTTCATTCATCTCCATGTCCGACACCAGGATGTTCTTCTCAGCGGATTCGCTGGGGTTGGAGGTAGTGCGGCTGTAGCGGGCACTCTCGAAGGCCCCCCGCTCTGAGCTCCGCCGGCGCTTGTATAAGTAGATTGTGATGGCTATCAACACGCACAGTGCAAGCGTCGAGAGGATGACCACGGCAATGGCAGTTGTATTCTCTGAGAGAGCTGGGTAGAGGGAGGGAAGGCCTGTGAAATCCACCCTGCCCCCTCTATAGTCTGTGGTGCCATCTCCATTGAGAGGAAAGGAGACCGAGCCACAGAGCAGAGAGATGTGCCACAAGGTCAGTGGGCACAGAACCTGTACATCCCCACTCCCAGTTCCATGTGTCAGCTGCTGGAAGCTTGACCAGGCAGGTGGATGAAGCTGCTCTCACTCCTCAGAGAGGTCACTATGACAGACAGCTCCCTCTAGCCCAGACAGGTGAGCTCAGTCCCCAGGCAGGGGAAGCTCACTGGAGAGCCAGGATATGGCCCACCAGGGAGTGTCTATCTAGCCTGGTTGCCACTCATCATGTGCAAGAGAGATCCCATCATGACTGCAATGCCCACCATGTCCAGGAGGAAGGGAGCAGAGCAGCCAGACCACATAATCTTCCTCCATACTGCTCAGATGGGGGTCCCTGGGCTTGAGAATTTACAGAGGGAACATAAAATGAGAGAGAGTCCAAAGAAGAGACACCCATATGATCAGTCTTAAAAGGCAAGCCATATGATGCAAGGCTGAGAGATCTGGGACTCTTCAGCCTGAGGAAAAGAAGGCTGAGAGGGGACCTGGTAGCAGCTTACTGCTACACTAGGGGAGTACATCAAGGGCTCGGTGAACAACTGTTCACCAGGGCACCCAAGGAGAATACTAGGAGTAATGGCCACAAACTTCTGGAAGATTGATTCAGGCCCAACACTAGGGAAAACTTCTTCACAGTCGGGTTGTCCAGACTGGAATAAACTCCCTCCAGAGGTGGTGCAATCACCTACCCTGGAAATCTTCAAGAGACTAGACAGTCACCTTGCTGGGGTCACCTAACCCCAAGTTGTCTTTCCTGCTTGGTGCAGGGGGCTGGACCCGATGATCTTCCAAGATCCCTTCTGGCCTTACAAACTATGAATCTATGAAAAAATCAAATGGCTGGAGAAGGCTCAAGCCATCCTACTAGAGATGGTTACTCTTGATGGCATGAATGGCAATCCAGCTGTGTGGGCCCCACCAGCTCTTGCAACAAACCCTTTCAGCACTGGCTCTTGATCCTGAACCACCCCTGAGAGCAGGGGCTGAAGTGGAACATGACCATGTGCCTGTGCTGATTTGTGATTCCTCTGCATCACTCACCTGATCGGGGGGAGTTGCTTTCCTCAACTGCAATGGGAACAAAGAAAGAGACAGATGAGTAGCCAGCCACGGCACCCTTCATTCCAGCTGCATTCATGCCAGTAGAGAATGGCACCTGCAGGGCCCACCCTGCACCCACTGAGACCCTGGAGCCCACTGACACTGCCTTGCATGCACAGTGGCCTGAGCACCCACTGTGTCCCCGCCTCTATATGTACCAGGGACTGGCATTCCCTAAAACATCTCCAGTGCCCCAAACCTATCACGTGCTATGCAAGGGCATGGAAACCAGTGCCACTCCCAAAGGGCATGGTGGAAGAAACCCCATGAAAGGAAGCTACCTCAGACCTGTCCTGGGCCCTGCTACCTTCCAATGATGTCCCTGCCAGGCAGCAGGTTAGCCTCCAGGACTTCCCTGGCTTGGGGGTGATACTACTGTAGGAGGAGATGCTTTCACCTGAAGCCCCACACATTAAAGGCCCTGTGGCCTGACATTGATTATGCCCAGTGAGAAGTGGGCAGGTCCTTCACTGTTCCAGTGGGTGAAACAAACAGCCATTGTCAGAGGCTAAGCAGCAGGATTACAGGAACAGCCTTGTGGACAGTACCAATTGGCTCATCTCTTGCTGATTAGCCTACTTGCAGTGCCAGGCAAATGTGACCTCACTGTCTCCTATGGCCAGTGCTCAAGGCCACCGTTCTGGAACTCAGGCATGCAAATATGGGCAGAAGAACAGGTACAGTAAAGCAGGAGGAAGCAGCAGGTGCACAGGTCCGTGCCTGATTCCCTGCCTTGCCAAAAGGTGGTGCAGCCACTGGACTCATGCATCTTATACTTCACGTGACTCTCAAGAGCCTGTAGATAGGGACACTCACAGAGAGCTCTATCTTATGAGCCACTTACTGGAGACATTCAGCCCTCCTAGGGTTTCAGAGCTAAGCTCACAGGAGCCCTGTGTGTTAGGGTTAATGTGGCCATGTTTACTCCAAAGGCTGCCTAGTCTAAAGGGATGGACACACAAACTATTTACCAACAGGTAAACTAGGGTGTGAGCTTACAGCATATCTGCTGTAACTGCCCATGGGCATGAGACATAGCTCATCCTTCTTGCACTGAGGGACAAGCCACCTCACCCTGGTCATGGAATATAATAGTTAATGCATTATGTTTTCCTCATGGAATCTTGCTTGTGTGCTCATATCCAAACACAAGCATCACAGAGCTCTCATTGAAGACATATGCAGTAGGAACAGGAGTTGGAGCTAGCCAGGCTTTTCCCCAAATGCAGCCTCTGAGGCTGTCTCAGTCGTAGCCCACAGAAACCCCTGCTGTCCAAGACCCAGGCTCTTCGCACACTGCTCCATTCACCCCATCATTCACTGTGACCTGCAGCAACTCCTGCTGTGTCAGTCCTGCTTTTTTCCCAAGCAAGGTATGACCACTCTGCTGGGCTGCACTTTGAGGGCTAATGACAAGGAGCTAAAAGAAGCTCCTTGTGAAGTGCCCTAAGCTGAAGGTGTCCAGGGGAGAAGATTATTAGTCCTCAACAGAGCCTTTGCGCCACAGGCATATATTTTGCACTGGCAGGGAGTCACTCAGTGCCAAGTAACACCAGAGGAACTGAATCAAGAAAGTCAACAGGCTTCTCAGGCTTCTTACCTCGGGGGATTTTACAAATGACCCCCATGGTGACGTTTGTGCAGGAGCCGAGACGCCACACCCCATTACTGCTCTGGATCCAGTAGCAGCTGTTTTGGCTCAGCATGTTTGGTCCTGTGTCGTGGTGGCCCCAGTTCGAGTAGTTGACGACCGTGTTGTCATGCCAAACCAAGGTACCCCCTGGAAGAAGGGTGGAGGTGAGCAGATGAATATGCTCCGCCACAAGGGTGCTGCAAAGAGCACCCAATGTTGCCTGGTTGCAAGCAGTGGTAATGATGGGTTTTCAGGACACCTAAAGGGACACCACCAAATGAGGTAGGCTGCTGCTGCACTCGCTTCCAGCTTATACTACACCTCCTCCCATACAATGGCCTATTCTGATCCCACATGGTGTCCACAGAGTCTAGAAGTCTAGTTTAATGATGTGATTGGCTTGGCCACAGTACACAGCAGGACTGGTAATGTCCAAAGGCCGCACCTCCGTCTCACAGGCTGGAGCTGTAAAGTGCACCACAGAAATGTGGGCCATGTTTGGCCACAGTAAGCACTTGAACCAACCCTGGCAGGTGGTGCTGAGTCCAAACAGCACAAATGGCCAGGGAGATCCTGGCAGACAGGCTGGCTCAACATGATTCAGGCACGTAGAAGAGACAGTTTCAGACCGAATTCTCCGAGGAGCCCAGCAGGGGCTGTAAATCTTCATCTGCCCTTAGCTTCTTTTACTCTTTTCTTTGCCTCCTCAGTTACATTGTATGTATAAATACAGACAATCATTTTCACATTTACCCTGCCTCCCACATGCATAAAGTTCAACAGGTCCCTATGTGTAGAAGGTGCAAGGCAGTTGTGTGTACAAGACTGTGCTTGAATATAAATGCACCAGTCTGTGCACCCCTGCCTGACTTTGGCAGGCACACGATCCCCTGGTTTGCTGTGGAATATACTGAGGACAATGGCAGCATCACTAATCTCAACCCTAGCAATTCGCCTCTGTGTGCCACCAGCCCTTCTGCACCACAGGGTCAATACCATGAGTCTCATTTATGCAGTTAGGGAAACTGACTGCTGGAGAGGCAAGGTCTGTGGAAGACCTGGAGATGGAACCAGTGCTCTGAAGCCAGGCTGCCTCTGTCAGCACCCATGATCTACAGAAGCACAGGTCCAGCATCTCCCATGGTTAAAGATCTTTAGCAGAATGCTATCTTCCTTTGCAATATGTCTATTTTACCTTTGGGGTTAAAGGTCATCCCCAACCAGGCACCTTTGGACTGGCTTTCATAGGCCTGGAGATGCTCCCAAACAAAAACGTTCTCCGTCTCATCGTGGATGGACAGCACCATGCCACCAGCTGTGGAGGAAAAGATGCATCAAGCAGAAAGCCTGCAGTATTAATGGAAGGGGGGCAATACCTTTCAGTTCCAGTAAGGGGTCTGCTTGCTTTCTTCAGACCTACCAAGACCAAGATCCAGGCCCAGTCCCATGCTAGCTAATTAGCACTCTGAGGCATATTATCAGGAGCATGAACTGTCCTAATCCCATGGAAATTAATAGATCTATGACAACTGACACCCTCTGTCCTTGAGAAAGGAAATTACTAACTGGACTGGGCTAATTAAATGCTGATGAAGCAGGACAAAGGTGCCCCAAAACAATCTGTAAGTCTGGCAGGTAAACTCTCAGGATGGAGATGCACAAGAGGACTGTGCCAGGAAATAAGGAGGGGATGCCCACTGGTTGGGACTCAATTTGAGTGACACTGAGCACCAGAGCCTGGGTAACAGCATCCTCCTCTCCTGCTTGTGACTACTGAACCTAGAAGAGGCTGTCCAGGGCCCTTGGTTCCTAGGGATTTCAGAGGTTCTGGCCATCTCACGTTTCCAGGGTTGCTGTGTTGTGCAACTCCCTACTCTAAAATGTTACTCATACCTTTCTGGCATCTCTTCATGGCATCCTTATGGCCCAGAGTGACCTCCATGTGGAAGGTGTAGCAATTATCCCTGAAGGGAATCCAGGAGGAATCTTCAATTGATTTGGGGCAGCTCCCATTGAAGCTCCACTTGTGTGTTCGAGGGGGCCCTGCAAAGGAGGGGAACACCAGGCAACTTTAGGATATGGCAAGATAATGAGACGGGAGTGGGGAAGACAGACCACAGCACTGCAGGGGAATACTTCCCTACAGTGGAGGCTTTTACAGAGGCTATAGCTGGCCAAGACACATGCTATGGCATAGCTATGCCTTGCATTGCACATGTGGAAGGGAAAGGCAAAAGCTAACTTTTGCACCTCTGACAGGGAGGTGAGGTGAGATCCTATGGCAAGGGCAAGCAAAGTCCAGCATACAGGACATGTTGGGCCCGCAGCGGACTCCATTTCCCAGCAGCCCCCCACCTGCCTTGCTGCAGTCAGTTTCCATGGAGACTTCAGGAGTGGCAGCACCCTGAAAGCATGGGGCCAGGGTTTCCATGAACACTGGCCCAAGCGGCACTGGCAGGGTGTGCAGCTGGGCAGGGAGCTGCTGTGGGGCCGGAGTTGGGGCCCTGGCTCCAGAGCAGCTCCCTGCCCAGCTGTGCACCCTGCCAGCACTGCTCAGGCTGGTATCCACGGAAACCTTGGCACAGTGCTGTCACAGCTGCACCACTCCTAGGGTCTCCATGGAAACCGGCTGCAACAAGGCAGGCAGGGGCTGTTGGGAAATGGAGTCTGTCTGCTGGCCAGATACGCCATCTTGCCCACCCCTGTCCTGTGACTTCCTCGTTGCAAATGCCTCAGACAACCAACCACCCTGAATCTGAGGACCGGACCCTGGTGCCCCTGACAGAGCTCTCAAAATGAGAATTGTGTCCCACATTGGGAAAACTGGTCCTGCATCTTTACCAGCCATGCACAATGAACCTCCATTTACTCTAACAGGGGTTCTCAGCTGGTGGTCCTCAGCTACACTGCATGGGTTGCAAGAACAGATCTGGGGTGGAGGAGAGATTAGCTGACCTCCTAATATTCCCAAGGCACCAACCAGCACCATGCTGAAAAGACACGCTGCTATGAATGTGCTAATTAGCTGTCTCTCAGCTGATCAAATTGGCCTACCTGCAGTGGCACTATGAAGCAGTTGCACCACACTACCTTAACTTCCAGCATGGCTATTTCCACTTCCAGAGATACATAATGGACCTCAGAGCTATAGAGTGGCCTGGGTTTTGGTTTCCTGGAGTTGGTTGCCTTATCAGTGAGAGCTGGAAAAGTTCCTCTGCCGCCCACTAAAGGTTTGCAGAGCAGCTGTTACAGCAAGCCTTCTCCAGGAGGCACACTTGTCACCCTACTGGTATGGGCCATAGCTTGGAGCCACAATACAACCCTTGAGAACATGCACTGGAACACTTGCACTCTGCAGCTGCCCAGCTGAGAAGCCCTGGGGCACCTGACATGCCTTTCCCCAGACTCTGCCCGTCTCTCCAGCATTTGTAAGATGCTGGAAACGCACTCACCTGTACTGATCTTGCAAACAGCCCCTTGCAATTTGGTGTCACAGCTGGCTGTTCGCCAGGTCCCATCCACATCCATGTAGGAGCAGCCTGTGACCTGCTGGGGCTCACCATCCTGCCAGTTGACATAGTAAAGACTCTCCTCTGTGAACCATGAATAGCTCCGGCCTCCCTGGGAACCAGTGACAAAGAGGAAGGCTCAGAGGCTGCTCAGACCCGCAACACTTGTCACCCCCCATGCTTGTCTGGGGGATGGCCCCTGTGACCCTACCTCTGGGGTTGTCAGCTGGGGGTACGCTTACCCCCAGGGGTACTTGGGAAGGCCCTGGGGGGGGTACACGTGGGTGGGCAGGGATGGAATGCCAGAACCCACCACCCAGCACCGCTGCCTCCCAGGAGTAGGGCCAGGAGGTGGGGGGCGAGGGCAGCGGAGTCCCTCTGCAGGCTGCACAGGCGCCGGCCAGTTGGCTGGATTTTGGGGGGGGAGGGGGAAGGGGGTGAAGCTCACATGTGGCGGCTGCTGCCACCACTCAGCGCCCCACACTGCAGCCGCTGTGTCCAGCCGTGTACACCCCCCTCCCCACACCATCTGGTCGCCGGGGGTACACTTATTTAAAAAGGTTGAAAACCCCTGCCCTACCTCATCGTTGGCCAGGCCAATCCAGAGAGGGGCCCGCAAGCTGCTGATTGCCTGAGTGAGGTAGGCCTGTGTGTAGGGGTCCAGCACGCTGGCTAGGGTGGTGTTGTGGGTCTCACACAGCAGCAGGGCCTCATGCCACTTCAGAGGTTTCTGCAGGATGCGGTAGGTGCTGTTGAGATAAGAGAGCGTGGAGTTGGGGGAAGGGGGATACGTCGTCCGGGAGGAGCTCAGGGTTGGGTCTGTGGATGGAAAGAGGCAAGGTCAAATTGCTGTCACAAGTCTCCCCTCACACCAGAATAACACTGCTCTACCCTTCTGCATGGCCCTCCCTCTGGGCACAAGCACTCATGAGCAGGCATAGATATGCACTGGTGAGCAGGCATGAATATAACCATGTGTACAAAAACCCAGGTGGAGTCAATGTTCCCACTCTGCGCACACATCTCACTGGACCCAATACTGCTGGCAGGAAAGTACCCATGTGCCAGCAGGCAGTGTCCTGCCTCAGGGGATGACTCTGCCATTGGATGCCCTGTGAGCATCAAGAGCTGGGCACAGTGTTCATGTGAGCATGGGGGATCCCCAGCCTACTGGCAAAACAGAGCTGGAGACTGGTGTAATGGTTTGGATGCTATCCATGCACAGCACAGGGCAAGAAGTGACTCATGGGCTCAGCATCTCAGTTCCTGGGCAATGGGGCTGGGAGACCTGCAACTGCAGTCTCTGGGGACAGAGTGTATTATACAGTGCTTACAGCGCAGGGAGTAGGTGGGGAGGGACTGCCCAACAGCAGGTTACTGAGACACAAGAGGTGAGACTTTTCCTGGGGAGCTGTTCAGCACTCTGAGATGGGGTTTAGTTGCGCCTGGCCTAGCATTAGAAATGGGCCCACATGCATGCATACATATGAATACACACAGGCATGCGCACAGATGTGGACACTGGGACACACACACACACGCGCACACCCCCTCCCTTCCCCCTCTACCCCCAGATGGCATCTTGACAACACACTCATTCTCTGCTTCCCAGGGGGAACCTGCAGCTGGATTTGGACTGTCAGCACCAGAAACATGTGTCGTGTTTGCGGGACAACCAGACTAAGTGGGGACCCTATAGAAACCAGAGATGGCTGAACACTGAGGGCTGGCTTGGAGCACAGCCACCTGCCTGGTTCATTAGTGCTGGCTGAAGCAAAGCCCAGCTGCAGCCAACAATCTCAGCGGAAGGTGGCTACACCAGGTCACAGCTCATTTCTGACCTCAGCACTGTCCTTGTCTTCTCTTGGCAGGTGCCCTCCCTGCCAACCCAATGCCTTCTGCCCCATACCTATGCTTCGCTGGCAGATAAACCCGTGCATCTCCTCCAGGCAGTTCCTGTCGTCCCAGCAGCCGGTGAAGTGGGGAGGGGCGCCGTGCCAAACCACAGCACAGTTAGTCTGCAAAACAGCACCCAGTAGGGTCAGGGCTACCTCTGTGAGCCCTGCTCTATTCACTGGAGGGCAGCCAGCTGGTTGAGCTGGCACAGAGTGCAGCATACTGCTGTATGGTGTGAGCTGAGCTCACTCCTGTGGCTGCTGGCCTGACCAGGCTTTCCAGAGGTATCCTCTCCAGACACATCTAGCACACACTGTACAGCAGATGGAGCCACTCTGGCTCTGAAATTTCCCAGTGCAAACAGGGGCAACCAGCCCTAGAGGTGTTTGGCAATTCTCAGTGTCTGAGGAGGAGTGGGGCAGAAGTCTTGATCACTGTGAGTGGAGGAACCCAGAACAGGTTTGTTACGTAAGTATTTGTACCTCACTGATTGAAGCTGAAAGGACAGCAACCCCATGCTCTGCGCTGGGGGGAGAGCTGGTTTTTGCCACCTAGCTGGGGATCCCCCACCTTTCAAGGATTAATTCCTCTAGTGACACAAGCTCTGTGGCACCTGCTCTCAGCCCCAGTGCATGGGGCATGACTGGAACAAAGCCAAGCTATAGCAATCCCCTCCAGGAGCAGCACCCCTGAAAGCTGCTTTACACTGAGCTGGGAGCCAATCTAGGCTGCTGTCAGTTGTGAGATGGTGGAGGACAGGCTGGCATAAAGGCCATAAGCCGCACTCCTCTTCAGGTGTGCCAAGCACTGTTGGGAGCCCCTTCAAGAGTGTTCTTGACTGAACCACCCCTCTCTGTCCTGGTCCTATCTCACTGCCTGGGGAAAGCATGTGGGTAGCATGAGAGGAAGCAAAAGTGGAAGAGGCCCTGGGACAAAGGCCCATTCTTCCTGCCAGTGCAGATGTCTAAACTGTATGTTCTGCTGTTCTGCTTTTAAACAAGGGTCTTTCTTATACTGCATGGGTTGTAAGAACAGACCTGGGGTGGAGAAGAGATCAGCTGACCCCCTAATATTCCCAAAGCACCAGCCAGCACCACGCTGAAAAGACACACTGCTACGCTTGTGCCAATTAGCTGTCTCTCAGCTGATCTAATTATCCTGTGGAATAGGGTTCCCAACCCCTCTCTTCACAGACTGTTCCACTGCCAGGCCACCCTTTCTTAGGTCCCAGTGCTCTTGTGATTCCCCTGAAGTTGGCTCCTCTCCCCACCAGGGCTCATATTCCCCAAACACCTGCAGATGGCCCCTCCCCCTGCCAGCTACGATTTAGCCAAGTAGCACTGAGAGATGGGGGGCTATGATCCTATTGGTCAGTACCAAGGACTGGCAGATAACACTGAAGTATGCTTCAGTGCTTAAGCAGATCACTGACTCCTGCATATTAGGGGGCCTTTGCTGGTGCAGGGTTCCTGCATCTTCCTTGGAAGCAACTGGTGCTGGGCACTGATAATGACGAGGTACTAGGCCAGATGGAACCCTGGCCTGATCTAGGTTGAAATGACAGGTTAAGAGGCCATGGGAGTCACTCACCGGTTTCTCACTGGATGTGGAGCTGCCGTATCCAGAGGGCTCCCCAGGGGCCCAGTTGATGTATCTGAGCGGCTCAGATTCCACCCACTGGAACTCCTTCTTGGCATCATGGAGGCCAATCCAAAGGTCAAAGGTTATGTTTGGAAGCTGGGAGGTTATAAAAGCTGGGAAATGAAAGTATGGAGGTGAGAGAGAAAACCAGCTATTCCAAGGAGGCATGGGTCCCTGCACCTGGTCCCATGGCTTATCCGAACAGCTGCTGCACCCAGGACATGCTCTGCTCTTAGGGCCAAAGCATTCTAGGACCAGTTTCCTCCCAGGCAGCAATTTTGATCCTGCAGTTTTTTGAAACTGCAGAGCCCTGGCAGCAGCAGAGAAGCCCCCTGGCCCTACCTTGCTCGAGGTAGTTGGAGATAGTGGCCAGCACAGCGTCTTGGCTCTCACACGCCTGTTTTGCATCCTGCCAGGTCACCTTCTCTGTCTTGTCGTGGCCATTGAAGCTGAAACACTGGGTAAGGCCATGGGCAGATGAGTAATGTGTCCCAGAGAGCAATGCATTCAGCAGCTGGCTCTTCCCTCCCCATCCCTCCTCTCCGCCCCTGGTAACAAGTCTTAGTATTTAACTCTATTCTCACATCTTTATCCCCATCCACAGGCACTTCACTCCCAGCTGTGCATCTACGCCCCCAACCAAGCACCCTGTATCCCCTACCTAGCCACATCCTCACCCCACCTCCCACCCCATGCAACTCCCTGCTTCACCACACAAGTATCCTCCCACACCCTCCCTCAATTCTCTACATACAATTTCTCTCCGTCAACTCCCTCCAGCCCAGCCTTCCCCACCTCCACAGCCTCAGAAAGCATCCTAGATGTTCCCATGGAATCGGACATGCCAGGCAGATCTTGGAACAATCACATGTTCCCACATGCAAACACTGATCCCACATGCAGGCACTGATCACTACATTATTCACACTCACACCCATGCTGGACACCACCTCTCATCTGTTCACGCACGCACACCATAACGCCCCAGCTCTGCATACACGCTCACCCTCCCTGCGTGCCTCTCCTCCCACCTCCAATGCAGCATTTCCTTTCTAATCCATCCCACAGCTAGGTAGCACAGACAGCAGCTGCGGCATTGCTGCCCCCAAGGGGCCACAAACCATGCCTGCAGGCTCATGGCCTTGCAAAGTGCCTCTCTGCAAGTGTATACGCAGGAATATAAACAAGCGCACACAAGTGTGACCAGGGTCAGATGCTGGGTCTGTAGGCCTCCTGTCGTACCTTGCTGAAGAATGGGATCCAGCCTCTAGCACAGCCACCAGGAACAGGAGTGGGCAATGGTGGGAGGGTGGGCTTCATGGCAGTGGAGGTACTCCGTTTGCAGATGTATGGCAGAGCAGTAAGACACTTCTGGTCACCCCAGTCCTCTGCAGAGGAAAGGAATGCATAGGCCTGTTCTACTGCAATCTTGCACCCCAACTGGTGGAGGCAGCACCATGGAAATGAGCATGGTGATGACAAAGTGCCAGTTCCCTCAAGCACTGAGCCATCATCTTGGCACATCTGGAACAGGCAAGCTCAGGCAAGGTAAGTGCATGGAGAATGGCTGTACCAGATACAGTGTGCATCCTCTATCCCTCATAGTTACACAAGACCTGGCTAGTGCAGAGCAGTGACTCCCAGTCAATAAGCTGTTGGGCAAATGACTTAGGCCAAGGCTTCAACAGTGGTCATTAGCTTTGGGTGTCCCTGCTGAGTCACCCCAGGCTTGACACATGGACCTACTGAAGCTGTCTGCAGCCATGGGCGTCAGGCACCTCTGAAACTCAGGCCCAAAGTGTCTCCTGTTGGGCTCCCCAAAATCACATTCCACTCACAAAAGTGTTGGTTGCCCCATTTCTGGCCTCAGTTCTGCTGCCAGTAAGTGGGGGTAATGGTACTAAGCCAACTTGTGGGGGGTTGGGGTAGGACAGGAAGTGTTGTTGCTGAATGTGGTTACATAGTGTTAGGAGGGCTGTTTCTTTGTCTTGTGTCTGTACTGTTGCTAAGGGGATGGCGTCACTGGCAGGAACATCTGAGCCAGCTTTAACCTCGGCTATACATGGCTGCTGGAAGCCCTGGGGATGTACGAGAGTAGCTAGCCCACAGTGCAGTCCATGTGGCTGTGTCTTCCCTGTTGAGGGAGAGCCATATCAAAACAGGCACAGGGATGATTCCCCATCTGGCTGTCAAACAGTCTCCAGACAGTGAAGAAACACCCATACATCCATTTGCAAACCTCTCACCTCTGCTGGCCGTCATATACACACACTTCCTGTCCTTGCTGATTGGCCGGGGTTTGCCTGGTGCCCATGAAATGAAATTCAGTAGGGAGCCGTCAGACCACCTGTGAAAGGCAATGGTAGGCAACATCATCCTTGCTCTAGGTGCAAAGGGGAGACAGGATCTTGTAACTCTGCAGACATGTTTACAGAGAGTTATTCTGCACCAGCTGTTCCCATTCCACTCCACATATGGACCTACTTATTCTGGAGTAAGAGTGCCGTGCTTTGAATTAGCCAAGTTCCTGTTGGCTAAAGACATCTAACAGGAAAGGGGAAGCTTGAGACATAAGCCAGGAGCAAACCATACTGACAGCTGGGCAGAGGTGAGCAGGCTGGGCATGCGCTGCAGGCATTTGCACCTGTGATAGGTTTAGCCAAGGCTAAACCTGCAGCTTTTTGAGCAGGCATAAACTGCTTTTAGGGGCTTTCTGATAGGGACAGCTTAGCTTGCCATGGCCTAAGTGCCTGGGGAGTCCAAAGTCAGTCAGGCATCATGCTGGCCACATCACTCTCTTGTGCCTGCCTTCTCCATGCTAATTCAGTGGGCCATCAGGCTCAGATGGACCTTTGGCATTTTGATTTCAGGATGAAAGAGTGTGTGCTGTGGAGTGAATTAGGAACAGCTAATCTATGTAAGAATTCACACCCTACCTTGCTCCAGATTAACTTCCACCATGTGCAGACAAGCCCTCTGAGAAGGCATCCAATTAGCTGGGACACCAAGTGCTTGGGAACAGCAGTGGCTGCTCTTGCATGAACTCTACCTGCTTCACAAACTGGCTGGTGCCTGCTACTGCTGCTGTCCCTCACATAGCCTGGACTGTGTCTAACCCAGAAGGATGGTGGGTGAGGGTTACAGAAACCCAAACACCAGCAGGGCTGAATGGCTGAGAAGTAATTTTGCACATGCTATTAATGTGATATAAGGTTCCTGCACAGTAAAATACTACACAGTAAGCCTTCCCTGGGAGCATGTCTACATGTGTACCCTCTTGGGAGTAAATCTACTCCCAATGGGAGTAGCCTGATACAGGGCTGCTCTGGCCCTGTTCTGCCCCACTGCCGCAGCCAGGGGGAACTCCCAGTTCCCCTAGGGTGCTAGCCTGGGGGTTGGCAGGTGGAATGAGGGCCAGCCCCATGCGCATGGGGCCAGGAGAGCCCTTCCAGCTGCAACTGTCTCCCAACCCTGTCCACATCAGGAGGGCTCCAGATGTGCACAGGGCGAGGAGACAGCTGCTGGTGCAGCTGGCAGAGCTCTCCTGGCCCCATGCACATCAGGACACACAGCTGCCAGCAAACCCCATACCCAGTGGGACTTCCCTGCCCAGCACAGGTTGGCTGGAACCCGTCCTGCTCCTGGGACAGCTTCCAGGAGCAGGACAGGTCCCAGTCAGCCCCCTGCTGGGCAGAGAATCCCTGGCCAGCCAGGGGCTTGCTGGCAGCTGTGCTAGGAGTAGGACAGGTCCCAGCCAGCCCCTTATTGGGTGGGGAATCCCTGCCTAGTGCTGGCAGCTGCCCCATAAGTGGGACAGCTGCCAGCGATTCCCTGGCTGAGCAGAGAAGCCTAGAGTTTCTCAGTCCTGGCACTGATCGGCTCCCAGCTCCTGGGGGGACCCAGGAGCTGAGCAGTGTCAGGACCAGAGACAGAGAACTCCCTCATCCTCTGTGGCCCCCTGCTGGTGTGGCTGACTGGGAGCAAATTTGCTCTTCGTCATCATCTACACAAGTGCTACTGCGCAGTAACTACTGTGCAGTTAATCTAGTACCTGTATTTACAGGGATCAGTTAAATATGCAATAGACTAATTAACTGTGTGGTAAATGTCATACATGTGTAGACAGTGATGCTTTACTGTGCAGTAGGTTAGTCTACTGTGCAGTAAAGTGTCTTGTGTAGATACACCCAGGGGCAATTGTAAGGGACACTTTGCCAGCACTGGAAATGGGCCCAGGAGCAGCCCTGACTTACATGTGTGTGTCACCACTACTCCCTGCTAGATGCACTGCCAGGCAGGCTCCAGCGCATCACTGGAACCTCAGCCCTGCCAGGCACCCTCAGTATAGGACCTAAGGCCAAGGAGCCCAGAAAGTGGTGTCAGAGGGGATGCATCTGAGAAGTGAACAAAATAGGAATGAAGGGAAGAGGAAGGGGTGGGAAACAGGCTTCTGCCCAACACTGCACATTATATATATGGGAAATTCAGGCAAGATTAATATCCTATAAACTGAGTGTGCTTCCCTCTACTCCCACCTGCAGATTCCCTATGTGACTCTGGTCTCTCCTAGTGGTGTCTGGGCCACAAGACATCAGTGAACCTAATGCAGCATTGGCTAGCAGAGCTGAGACATTCAACTTGGGTAGCAGAGGCTCAAGCTTCAAGACGCAGAGGCTTTGATTCAATCCTTTAGGCTTTTCAGGATGAAAGCCAGTTAAAAGGTGGTGAAGCTGGTGCTGTCTGCATGAGATTATGGGTGGAAGACAGGAACCCAATGTCCCAAAGGTAAACATGGTGGCTAACCCAGCTGGCAGAGGGCAGGCAATGGCTGTAGAGAGAGCATGCATGCTGAATGCAACCAGAGAAGAGGTCTGGTTGTTGGGTAGCTGCTTAGGATGAGTGGAGCTGGACTTCTTATTTGGCTATTAGACCTCTGAACTGGATATGTTGCACCTCCTTCTCCCTTGACTGCCAGAAGGATGGGGATGCAATGTATGAGGGCAGGTTGAGGACAGAAAGGTATAGGCAGTAAGCAGGCAGACAAGATCCCTTGCCAGCCCTCAGCCAGCCACAGGCAGCTCTCATTGCAGTGAGCAGGGGAGCCTGGGTTCCCAACCTGGTGTCCTCACCACAATGAGAGTTCCACGCAGGGTTTCAAGGGGTTCCAGGTTTTACCTGTGCTAAGACAAAATCCTCTCTGGACATGGAGGGAAGAAGGAGGGTGAGGGAGAGCAGAAGGAAGTGTGTGTGCATGATGGGGGGATGTGGTGAAGTCAGTCCCACCCCCACAGACTTACTTGAATCGCCCATCATTTTCATACGTGTGTAGCCCAATCCACCAGTGTTGCTCCTGGCCCCTGGAGAACTGGCAAACATGACACAGGTTAGAGTCACAGGTAGACAGAGGCACAAGGAGACCAAATGCATTGTGGACACATGCAGGTATGGCCATCCCCACGGGGCTGGCTGAGTCTGGCTGGCAGCCACACTGCCTTCTGTAGCTCCTCCATGACTTCTAAAGGCCAGGAGCCTGGAGAAGAAGCAGAACAGCAGCAGGATGGGTTGTGAATAGCTCCCCTTTCTCTGAAGTGGGAAAGTGATTTCTTCAAGATGGGAAAAGGCTCAGCACTCGCCTGCTCTGCAGCACCTTGGGAGGAGCCTAAGATGTGCCGATAGTAGCACTGGCATCTTCATGCATCAGTCAGCAGAAAGTACCCCAGGATTAAGGCCAAGCCAGGAGGCAAGGCTCTACTCCCAGTTATATGGGGGTAAATCCAGCCTAATTCCACTGCCACCAGCCAAGACACTCCCAGCTTCTGCCACTGTGCCTGAGGGCCCAGGTCATAAAACATGCAGCTGTGTGCTAAAGCCAAATCAGGGACACCAGAGATATGCAGGAGAACACTGGACAGGAAAAACCCATGAGAACACATGCTGGTGCTCTATGGGGCCTGTGTCCCTGCTCCAGCCTCACAAACAGAGGAAGCATTACCTTAATAAGCAAAGTACACCAGAATGAGAGCAGGTGTTCTCAGTGAGGCAGATCTGCCTCCTACTGAATGAATGTGCAGTTGGAAGATGAACTTGTGATAGCCCACACACTCCTACCTTCTTCAGATTCTGGCCCAAAAAATCCAGCTCTGCTCGGTTGTGAACAGACACCAGCTCTGCTTGGAACCAGGTGCAGATGCGCTGGGCCTGCACCCAGCTTGAGTGATGCTCAAAGAATTTGTATTCTTCATCCTGGTATTTAATCCACTCTTTGCTCCCTGCAAACAAGAAGCACAAGGCAGGTGAGCCTGGTGAACCCACAATGGCTGGATGGCCTTGACAGTAGGGAAGAGAACCTGCTTTGCATTTGTCCCTCACAGTTCTGCAGATGTCCCTCAGCCCTGACCCACAAGCACCCTCCTGTACCAGTGCCTCCTAGCTTAGCCAGAACCCCATAATCCTGACCTATGGCTGGCCCTGCTGTAAGCCTAGCCCTTCCCTACAGTTCTGCCAATGCCCCATAATCCTTATCTGTTGCACCCTGTGCTGTTCTAGCCTTGCCAGTTTTCCTTACCTGACCTACAGATCAGCTTTTGCTGGTCTAGACATGCCCCAAGTACAGCACCGCCAAGGCTCAGTCCTGCCTTGTAGCATGCCTTGAGATACCAGTCTTGTCTCATTCCTCCTAGCTCTGCTAATTCAGCTCTCTTCCCACTGCCACTGCAGTCCTGGCATTTTCTGAAGCAGTGCTGTAAGTAAGCCATACTGCATGTAAGTGCTGACAAATGCTCATGCTGGGAGTAGGCTCAGAGCAAGCTTGCTGTGTTTAGGAGGCCAGCACTCCCATGGAAGCTGCTCACACACTGCCCTTTCTTCTCAGACACTCAGCAATGAACGAGTCATAAGAGGCACCTATACATGGGCTTTGACATGTTTTGATTAGAACACATTGGAGCAGAATCAATTAATTGAGCCTGCTGGACTGTTCTTTAGTTACGAGATTTAGTTAAAACACCTCCACTACCATTCTGAAATGTGGGATGCTGAATACATGAAAGACTACAGGCATTTTAATGCAGGTGTTTTAAGAGCTGCTCTAATTAACCCCCTCCCCACACCCTCTCCCTCAGGAGTAACATGTTAAAACGCCCAAGGTGCCTGGGTAGCTCCCCCACAAGGATCAACACACATCTGTAGCTGCCATGT